CAGCCCCGAATGGCATGTTCTTGTGTAATTACATCTCTCCACGCCCTTCCTTTGGGAACAGGTCTGAATTATTCCCACCTCTTTGTTGAGCTGCGACTTTAATCAAAGGAAAGAAGCCTGAAAGAAGCCAAGCTCTGAAAGCCTTCATTCAATCCGCCCAGCAATTTCTCCAGGATTCAAACAGTAAATGAGTTAAAAACAAACAGGTGGGAGGGGAATCAATCTTTCTATTACAGACAAAATACGTGCATGGATGTATATATGTGTGTGCATGTGTTTGGGGGGGGAGTGATTTCTGTTCAATTAAAAAATGCATATATATTACAAACATGGTAATAACATTAAAAGTTCATCATTAGAATAATTCTTTTCGTGGGTGCTGAAAGCCGAAGAATTAAAATATGCCCAGGAGGAAAATTCAAACCGAAGGCCAGAGCGCCCTCTTTCTTTTTCTTGAAGAAATTCACCCAAACCTCTGTCCTCGGAGACCGAGGTCGCTAAGCAGAGAGCCAGCAGCACAAGGCTCCTGCCTCTGTCCCTGCAGCCTCTACACACGGGCCACATTATTCATAAGAGAGGGAAGCAGTAGGGAAGAAGCACTTTTAAAAGTAGAAATACTCACAAAGCCATTTCAAACTGTTCCAGCCATTTTTTCTTTAAATCTTTTGTTTTGCAATAAAATTCTAACCCATTCTGTCCTTGGGTATGGATGAGGTAGAAGCCATAAGACCACTGTTAAAATTAATATTCCTCAGGTTAATACGGATCATGCATGAGTAACATCACGTTCCCAAATTCACTACACCACCACCATCATCCTCCACAGACCTCTCGTAACGTTAAACTGTGACCAGTCAAGATCCCCGCAGTCAACTTCACATCTACAACCGTTTCTATGCCAAAGGCGTCGGTCTTGGTTGCTAGCATTTGGGATGAGCCTATCAGCTGTGACACTGACCCCTTCTTTCCCCTAATCAATTTCCAGAAACAGAAACTCCTGAATCGATGCGCTACCCCTCCCGGGAATGGAAGAGCACATATCCTTGAATGTTCAAAGTCATGAGTGAACCACAGTTATGAATCTCCAAGAATTCACCTTTTTGTTTTCTTTATCCGTTGTAGGATTGTTGGCTATTTTGTACTGCTGAAGATCTATTATTTCCTTCATTTCATAGTTGTCACCTTTTCTTTTACATACAATCACTGCCAAGTCGAATAAGAAGATGTGCCTGAGAGAGAGAGAGAGAGAGAGAGAGAGAGAGAGAGAAACTGATTTAAAATGGGTTGGAAGCACATGTTAGTTCTTCCCTTATAAACTGAATTAAACCAAACAAACATTTTTCCTTTGAGTTGAAGACAATGGCAGTGCTGCACCCTGAAAAGAATGAACTGTGAGCATCGTACCCTTCACTACCCTTAACTAAATGAGTGGCCTCGCTGTTCCTCAGTTTCCTTATTTAAAAACAGGGGGAAAATTTTTGTTTATTTGTTTTTTTTTGTTTGTTTTTTATTTTTGTTTATCCTCACCCGAGGATATTTTCCCATAGATTTTTAGGGAGAGGGAAAGACAGAGAGAAACATCAATGTGAAACACATTGATTGGTTGCCTCCTGCACGACTCTGACTAGGGCCCGGGCCAGGGAGGAACCTGCAACCAAGGTACATGCCCTTGACCAGAATCAAACCCAGGACCCTTTGGTCTGCAGGCCGAGGCTCTATCCACTGAGCCAAACTGGCTAGGACAAAAAAAAATGGAAAATTTTATTAAGAACAACAGGCACACTCAACATAGCTATAGCAAACAACTGAGCCAGGCCAGTGTGGTTCAGTGGTTGAGCATTGACCCATGAACCAGGAGGTCAGGGTTCGATTCCAGTCAGAGGCACATACCCGGGGGTTGCAGGCTCGATCCCCAGTAGGGGGGCGTGCAGGAGGCAGCTGATCCATGATTCTCATGAATTATTGATAGTTTTATCTCTCTCCCTTTCCCTTTCTCTCTCTGAAATCAGTAAAAAATATATTTTTAAAAAAGAAACAATTGAGATTAGCCATAAAAAGTGTTGCCCCTGAACCATTACTTTTGTTTTAGTTTAAAAGCTAACCATTTACAGAATAATGTGAATGAAAACAACGGCAATTAGCTTCTACTGATGTTATTAGGAGTCAGCCCGAATGGCTTTCACAAGGATGCCTGACACAATTTAAACCCCCATGGCCATCTGGGGAGCGAGATGTTAGTATTGTCATTTATTGGGGAGGAAACTGAGGCTTGGGGAGCTCATCTGCTGAAGGTCACGCTGCTAGTGAGGTGCTGAGCGGGTGCCCACCTGGCCCAACGGTGGGCCCCGTGCTCTTCCCCTGCAGGCTGCGCCTGGTGGTTACAGGCAGGAGCCACCTGAACCACCGCCTGAGAGGTACAGGAGCAAAGCGCAAACTAGAGGAAATTATGGTTAAATTTACATGCTGCTATTTTTCCTTTCTTATTAAAAACAACATAAAAACTATCATCCCATCATCTGATACCAACCTAGAGGAAATTATGGTTAAATTTACATGCTGCTATTTCTCCTTTTTTATTAAAAACAACATAACTGGGGAGAAAAACTATCATCCCATCATCCGATACCAATCCTTGTACCTTTTCGAAAACTCTCTGTGATTTATACGCACACATTTTTGAAACTATGATAATGGTACATTCGTGCAGCCTGAACACCTGCATCACTTTCAACGCCTATTTTCCTGGAGACGCTAAAAGGATGTGTGTCTCCTGGAAGCTACCTGTGGAGCCTGGGTATCAGGTGGAAGCAAGAGCTGATGCTGCCCCCTGCTGGCTGGCTTCCTCATCTGCAAAGGTTCCAGAAAAGGGCCATTTCAACCAAGTGATAATCACATATAGTTTGGGACACCAGGCCCAGCTCACTAATCTCCAAGGACCCCACCTACCAGTTCCCCTCCAGAAAGGCTCACTCACGCAGTGATCCTCGCTCAAACATCTTCCTTAGGACATTTGGTATCATTTCGTTATTTTAAAATGTAGACCCCAAAAATGAAACAGTTGTGTGTGGTGGTAGTTACCTATGCTATGGTGCCTCTACCTCTCCTCTCAGTATCATGTGCACTTTCTTTGACCCCAGCTGACATTCTCTAGCTGCCATTTCCTACTTAAGAACTTAGACAAACCAACAGACACCAAGCAGAGGGGACACCACCTAAGGCATCTACGTGAGGAACGGTTGGGGAACGGAGGCTGGCTTGCCCCCATTTCTTCCTTTGTGGCCCGGCTTTGCCCGGAGGAACTGTTTCTGAGGCCTCCCCAGGCTCGGATACGAACGGCTTATTCTGAAAGTGCATGCCCCTCTTCCTCACCTTTCTTGCTTCGTGTGCTTGTCCAGAGTGGTGATTCGGATCTCCCCGTCTCCCTGAGGCCGTCCAAACAGCAGCACTGGTTGGTTCTAAAACAGAAATGTACACACCTCAGTGTTTCATAATCACATTTAAAAAAAAGAGAAAATCTCAGTGAGGATGTGTATTAAGAACAACTACGGTTACTTGACAGCTTTTGTCATTTCACGTTTTTAGTGCCCTTACTCTAAAAGGCTCAGGTTTACATGATACACTTTCAAAAACAGCCTGTCCTTGGTCCTCCTGGGAAGCAGGCTGAGGACATTAACTAATTTTACTTATAACCCTAATGAGGAAGGCAGCTACCGAAAGAGAGAATTCATCCTAAGAATTCAAGTCACAAGGAAGGTGCAGGAACTAGTATTTCTTGAGCATCCACTCTGTGTCAGCCACTGTAACAGGGTGAAATGACATAGACCCGGCCCTCATGGAGCTACTAGCCAGCGGGGAAACAAGTAAGTCTGTATTTACAGATGCATGACTGCCATGAAGGGCAGCATGCAGGGCCGGGGACCCACTTTGGTTTAAAGAGTCAAGGAGGGTGACCCTGCTCAGAGATCTCAAGAATGACCAGTTCTGACTTAGCCCGCCGGCTCCGTGGCTGAGCGTCGGCCCATGGACCGGAGGTCACGGTTCCATTCCCAGTGGGGGCACATGCCGGGGTTGTGGGCTCCATCCCCAGTGCACCCCCCCTCCACCAGTAACACTGTGGCTTCTGCCTGGAACCCCTTCCCCCGGATCCCTGTGCTGCGGCTTCTTCTCAGGCTTCAGGTTCCAGGGGCCACCACCTCAGAAGGGCTTTTCTAACCATCATATCTAAACGAGGCCTCCCCTTCTCATCCCGTTGTATCGCCCTGTTCACAGCACTATCTCAAAATAGCATCTTTAAACTCTCCTTTCCCTGTCTCCTCCACCCTGAGACCGCGGGGCTCAGAGTTCCAGCCCCAGCCCCAACCTCAAGATCAGGCGCACAATAGTCACCCAGCACATACACATAAAATGAGTAAATGCACGGGAATCAGCAGGAGTATGTACGGCGGTGAGGACGCCGAGGTCTAGGATCTGGATGGCTGGGGAAGAAGCTGTGTGACTAAGATGAGGGGACAGGGAGGACAGAGCCATCCGTGTGGATGCTGCCAAACAGGAACAGGGAAAATAAACTAGAATTAGAAAATGGAAAGTAAAGTGTCTTTTCTTCAAAAACCACACGTGGTGGGGTAGGGAGGCTGGACGGAGTGATCATGACCTACCAGGTTTTCTATAGAGAGCTGGAACTGCCTGATTTCACGCAGGGTCTCGTTGTCTCTCTTCACTTCGTTCACATACTGTGCCAAGTCCTGCGGAGTGAAGAGAAGGGGACAAAAAGAAGGCCCATGAGATGGGAGGAGAGATGAGAGCGGTCCGAAAGAAAACACATCATTCCCTTCAGGAGCGGCAAAAGCACCCGTGGCTTTTCAATGGCCATCGAATCAACCAAAGCTGCTCACCAAGAACAAGTTAAAAATGTCTGGAGAACAGCCCGGCTGGCGTGGCTCAGGGGTTGAGCATCGACCTATGAACCAGGTCACAGTTCAATTCCAGGTCAGGGCACATGCCAGGTTTCAGGCTTGATCCCCAGTGTAGGGTGTGCAGGAGGCAGCCGATCAATGATTCTCTCTCATCATTGATGTTTCTCTCCCTCTCCCTTCCTCTCTGAGATCAACAGAAATGTTCTTGTTTTTTAATGTCTGACGACAGCTCTCCCTCTCCCTTCCTCTCTGAGATCAATAGAAATGTTGTTGGTTTTTAATGTCTGGAGAACAGTTGGGAAGACCAAAGAGTTGTCACTTACCTCACCCTTGAGAACAGGATAAAAAAATAAAAAAAAAAAAAAGTGACCCCACGCAGAACAACAGAAAGGGAACCAGGTCATGAGAACGTACGTTCCAAACACATTAACAATGACCCTGAGAGACCTTGGTTGCGGGCACATCCCCAGTAGGGGGTGTGTAGGAGGCAGCTGATCGATGTTTCTAACTCTCTATCCCTCTCCCTTCCTCTCTGTAAAAAATCAATAAGATATATTTTTAAAAAAATAAAAATAAAGTGACCCCATGCAGAACAACAGAAAGGGAACCAGGTCAGGAGAATGTACATTCCGAAGACATTAACAACGACCCAGAGAGGAGGACATGTCACGCGGGTTGGAGTAAGGGCAGAAAGGAGGGCTCGGCGAGGGAGGGAAAGGTAACTAAGTTAGACCCCCTTGCTCCCTGGGCACCGCCTATTTTTAAATGTCTGCTCTCATTTCGGAGGAAACAGTAGCTCATCTTCCACCCGGTGACCAGCTATTTTTATTGTACGCGCTCTCCATTCTCTGTGTTCTGGGGTCTTTTTCATCGTCTCTGTTCCCTTCAGTTCATCTGAAGCAGCGGGAACAGAACTCGGACAAAAGGCAGTTCTGAACTTTGTTCTAAATGAAAGTCTGACTTTTCAGAGCATGTATCTATAAATGATCTCTTAAAATTAGACCCTTGGTATGACTTTTTGTAACAATAAGTAACTGGGTGATGGGCCCGGACGGGGTGGGTGCAGAGCCGGCGGACAGCTGGGCTCGCTGGGAAATGGCCCAGAGACACGGAGAAGCATCACCACCGTCTCACAGACGCCTCGAGTTTTGCTCTGAGGACACATTTGCTTCTGTTTTAAATTAGGGACGAATATTTCCTTCACAGTTCAACACAGCGTGGAAGTTGGGTCTTAGAGATCCCCCATGTGCTCAGAAAGTCTGCCTCTATCTACTCGTCATTCTTGGCTTCCAGGTTTCCCTGAACATAGAAACCCAACCTGAACCTCACGTGCACTGACGCTCAGCACCCGCAAAAGGAAGCCTGGCAGAGGCCTCACCGGAGAAAGCTCCCGCCCACCTGGTGCTTACACAGCCGCAGTGTTCTATTGGCGACCATGCAGAGCATGTCGAAGGCAACCACGATATGAAATCATTCCTGGAGGTTATGGAAGTTGTCATAACATTCGCAAATAACAAAAATTCTTTTCGCCCAGCCAGCGTGGCTCAGTGGCTGAGCATCGACCTATGAACCAGGAGGTCACAGTCTGATTCCCAGCTGAGGCACATGCAGGCTCGATCCATAGTGTGGGGAGTGCAGAAGGCAGCCGATCAATGATTTTCTCTCATCATTGATGTTTCTGTCTCTCTCTCCCTCTCCCTTCCTTTCTGAAATCAATAAAAACATATATTTTTTTAATTATTTTAATTCACCTGTTGGTTTTATGTGTTTTTATCTAAAAATTAAATTCATACAAGTGTATTTATTTCAGTTAAAAACTATTCAACTCTCCCCGCCAGAAACAAAACTACACAAATACTTATGTATATTATAATATATTAGCATACCATGCATATGGATTAGCAGAGCCTTCTCTTGTTTTCAGGCAAGAATAACAAACACAAGCAAGGTCACGGCGCACCGCTTTACCTTCATTGCATCCAGAGCCAGCTTCAGATTCGCCTTCTCTGTGGGGTCGGTGGTATGCTTGACCAGTTCCTATTTGGAAGACACAGTTCAGTACTATTTTCATCAAATTAACACCCAAACATAAGGAAGAAAACATTTAAAAATTAACCCTTTATGTAGGTTTGGCGCAGCCACAAACAGTAGAGAATTTCTCAAAAAATTAAAATGGAACTGCCTTATAAGACTCAGCAATTCCGCTCTGGAAATATATCCGAAGAAACCCAAATCACTAATTTGAAAGGATATACGCTCCCCTATGTTCAGTTACAGTGTAATTTACAATAGCCAAGATCTGGAAGCAACCCAAGTGCCCATCACCATGGGACTGAACATACTTTCAAAATTTAAAGTACAAAACAATCCAAGAGAAATTAGGAAAAAGTTTGCTAAATTTCATAAAAGTATAGTCACATTTGATACTTTTAGAAGTCTGTCTAAAACCTAGATACAAACAGATGTGTCTTGAAAACTGCACCTTCTAAACTCTTCCATTGGTATTTAGTAACCAAAGTTACTAAATAAATCATTCTCTGATTTTGGACAGGTTTTTAGTTCCATGATGTCTCAGAAACTGATCGCCTTAGTCTTCCTTATTATTTCTTCATAAAATCCAATTTGAGTAGAGTTGCTCTGAGTTTAGGTCTCATATATGTTTTAATGCGTTTTAAAGAAATAATCAGGGTTTGGATTTCTCTGATTTCTCAGTAGAACAAAAATAGGGATGACTAATAATTCTGCGGCTTCAGTGCAAGAAATGTAATATAAAGAGGTCCAAAGCACAGAAGACTCCAAATCATATTTCACATGCAGGTAGGAGACCTGTTTAAAACAACATTTCACAAGCGTCAGCAGAGGAGATAGGCTAATGCAGTAGGACATTCCTTTGGAGCAGAACTAATGAGTCTCCTGGTACAGCCATCAAATTAAATTTATAAGACTCTCCACCCTCATTAGAGGACTAACCGTGGAAACCGTAAGCTTTGGGGTTATAACGAGAATCCCTTCAAAATACATGTAGCCTTATTATAATCTACTAGAGCAGAAAGCAACCCAGAATGTGACACAACTCTCTTCAGGTTATGGTTATCAGGCAAAAGTTCTCCCAGAATTAACCTGCTGAATCCGGGTATATAGCATTATCGAGAATCTAATAAGTGATTAATACTGACTACAAAGCACTTGGCCAAAGGGGTCTATCCGGGTATATAGCATTATCGAGAATCTAATAAGTGACTACAAAGCACTTGGCCGAAGGGGTCCTCATATTTGTTTTGACCCGATTATTTAATTTTTAAATCTGTCTGGAGCCAGCTCTGTTTGAGGGACAGGGAGTGTGACCTTGTGAAAAATGAGAATCACCTTGGCTTCAAGGAAGGCAAGTTTCCAGCTGTTATTTCCCATTGCGCCCCACTGATAATTGAGAATTGCAAGGGGACCGGGCCCCAGACACGGAGCCTCGGGCACACAGTGGATGCCTCATGAGCATTTGGTTGAAGGAATGAACGAACAGGGGTTTAAGTGACGTACCTGCAGGAGAAGGTGGTACTTTAACACGCGCTGCATTGGGACCACGAGCAGGTCTCGGAGAGTGAACTTCCCGTTGTTGGCGCGTTTGGAACATTCCTAGTGAAAAAACATGGTTTTTAAAACGTGCATTAAAAACCGTTAGCTTTATCAAAGGGAGTCATAAAGCCAACACGAAAAGATGCTAAGGCCATACACAGAACTGTGACTGCATGATAAACATCTACTTTTCCTTAACAAGCCTTGTTTCTAAAAAACAGAAAGCACCTACAATTAAAAGACAAAAACAAACCAACCTTGGAGCATTTCAGCTCTAACTATGAACCGGTAAGAAAAACTATGAAGATTCTTTCCTCTGGGCCCTCCAGGGTCTTCCTCCTCACAGGCTGACAGCTCTGCCTTGTCCCCAATCTCATCCAAGCCCCGGCCCGTCCAACCCACATGGGCCTCCCCACCAACACACCCTGGTTCTCTCCAGCTGCCATGTGCTTGGCCCAGTTCCCGGCAAAATCCAGCGTTCTCCTCAAGAACTACACTTCCAGGCCTTTAGTAACAACCCCACTCAAAATGATGCTCTCTCTGTGCCTTGTGGGTCTTTTCATTCTTGTTGTACATAATCCCTTCCCCAAGATGTCTCCCATACCTCTAAGAATCTAGTATTTGCTGAAGTGTTTGTTGAACTGAATGAAATGATTGACTCCAAAAATATGCTCAAGTGTAAACCTACTACAGGATTCAATGTTTCAAAAACCTCGGGTTTCTATTTTTTTTTAACATCACACTATTCTTTTTTTAAAGTGTATTTTAAACTAGTACTTTACTGTTTCTCACAGATCTATAGTGTAGTTCAAAAAGAACGGCTCAGTTGTTTGAGCATCGTCCTGTGCACCAAAAGGTCACCGGTTTGATTCCAGGTCAGGGCACATGCCCTGGATGTGACTTCAATGCCCAGTACGGGGTGTGAAGGAGGCAGCCAATAGATGTTTCTCTCTCCCTCTCTGCCTCTCTCTCTAAAATCAATTTAAAAAACAGAGTTCATAAAAATATTATTATTAGTAGGCAACTTAGTAAGTCCAAAATCCTCAGACAATTGCACATCCCAGACCAAGGAATTTGGGAAGGAGCTCAGGAAAGGAGTTATAGTCAAGGAAATACTCCTTAGCTCATGACTTGGTTTCCCTGTGCCCACACTTAGCTCTTCTGGAACATAAAACGATATATCACCAGAAGCGATAAAGCAAACTCCATCAGCTCTAATGACCACAGCGCCTAATGAGTGTCTGACTGAGGATCTTAAGCAAGAAATGCCAGCTCGGCCTGGCCAATTGCCGCAGGTCACTGGAAAGGTAACTATGGCGCTGACTGCTTGCTTCCACACATTAGAGAGCGCTCTGGGTCACGGGTCTCAAATGGGAGGTTAAACTGTTAATTCTGTGGTCATGGATGGGTCTCCTCTCCCTGTAAAGTCCCGCCCAGTGACCATATTCTGCATGTTCAGCTCCTTAAAACAGGTTGCATCTGACACTTCCTATATTATGACATCTAACACAGCGTCAGGAGCAGAAGTATCATACACTACAATTCACGCTGTGATGTGATGGAAGTCAGTGTAAAACTGTTGGGGGGGAAACTGGTTCCTTTCAGTCCTAAGCCACAGGCTTTCTCAGCCCCAACGTCCGGAAATTACCCGCATCCACCTCACTCCTGAGGCTCTGATGAGAGAAGCTCCTGAGGCAGCCACAGCCTCAGGCTGTCCCACGGCTGCTACGTCCACCATGTTATATTGTGTAGAGGCAGCTACTATTGCACTTTATAAAATGGCCATGAAATTATACTGAGAATATATGGGGACATTAACGGTCGCACTGGTCGGGAAAAGGAATATCTGGCTCTTAGGTTGGTTCATAAACCAAGAGACAAAACAACAGGCACCTCTAACTTCAGCTTGACGTCTTCTTTTGTCTTAGAGATGTAGTCTAAGCTGGAGATGGCCGACTCCACGGCGCTGCAGTACTGCCCGTAAATCACCAGCCTGGAAGGGAGGGAGACAGAGGAGTAAGTCTCTAGGACAGCAGAGCACGAACATGGAGGGGGAGAGGCAGGACTTCCGCCTCTACACCCACAGCGAGGGAGACACACAGCAAAACCCGCCTGTCGGCACCCCCGCTGCCTAGGAACCCCGGCAAGCGGTTCCCTCCCAGTCCCTCAGCTCAGCCTCACTCCTTCCTCACACACACCACACAGGCAGCCAGCGAAGGAGGATCACGCACAGGGATGGTATTAAAAATGACTCCTTTTATTTCTACATTTGACCGGGGCTCATTGCACGGACATTTTTACAGCAGGTGGGTTTTAAGAACTGGCTTGACTGTAGGTGTTGAGTACAAATATACACACAAAACAAAATTTAAAATTTCTGGTTAAGCTCCTGTTATATAAATGTCTACTCACTATGTTGTCCACCGGAGACTAATATAACATCATATGTCAGCTGCAAAGTGTCCATTAGAGGTCAACGTTTCACTGTTTACTCACACACAGAAACCAGGTGATGTGACGCTACAACTGTACTGTAATCGTTACTTATGACTCCATTCATTCATACGCCTCCTCTCTGTCCTCCTTTTAATTAGGAAAATGCATTCTCTGAAGTGGGGACGAGGGGCCTGGACTGTGCGGGAAGAAGATGCGTCGCCCGGCAGGGACTCAGCCTGCTCCACAGAGGGGCCCGGAAGGACACAGAAATTTCCCTAAGAGGCTGGGAATTTACTGTTTCTTTTAACTCTACTGATACGTTCGTGTTTGTCTAATTGTTGATGCAAAGCAACTTATGAGCCACTTCTGAGTCAGCATTAGGAACTATGGCGCTTGGTGTAAAATGTTAAGCTAAATTCCCAATCATGTGAGCTGTTGGGAAGATTTTTCTTCTCTAACTTACAAAGGGAAACTGACGTGCGTCGTGAATCAAATACCCCATCATGGAGAAGGATAACATATTAGAGTTGGAAAAGGCACCGGGCAGCAGCTCACCCACAGCCGACACGTACAGGTGGGGAGAAGGAGGCGGGCGAGTTAGTGAGACTTCCTGAAACCAGAGGCCTCGGGGACAGGGTGGGAGAGTCCGCACTGACGGGCAGGGCAGCCGTCTGCAGCCGTTTTTCCTTTTCCTTCTTTTCCTTTTTGCTCACTGTTCTGTCACACATGTGGAGCTCACTGCCACCAGAGGTCCCAGGTCCCGAGTTCTACCCGCCGCCCCACGTGTCCGCATGAACAGTGCTGATTCCTACCTATGAGCAGTGTTCACACTGACCCTCACTACGATGACCAGCGAACAGCCCCAACATTTTAAATTCAGAAGTTACCTTTCCTTGTAGTTAATGAAAATTTGATACAAGTTCTGGTCATTCTTATTTACGATGGAATCGTGGATTTCTTGCATTAGGTTCCGATGAACTTTTACAAGTTCCTTAGAAAAGAAAGCAAGGTCAAAGTTAGTTAGAAATCAGTACAACAACAAAAAGTCACCGGACCCCAGAATCCCTATTGCTGCTAGAATTGCCATCCAAGGACAAGCTAAAGGCACTCAGTACAGAAACCTGCTTGCATCCACATCCGTAGAAAGAGGAGGGAGAGGAGGGGAGGAGGGGGAGGAAGCGGAGAGGAGGAGGAAAGGGAAGGGGAGGGCAGAGGACGGGAGAGTGACAGGCCACATGAAACAGCAATTTCAGATCTGACTGGAAATGCCCATGTCCTGTGCGAGAGAAATGATTTCACTGGTTATTAAAGGGTAATTTATTCCTTGTAGAGAAATACGCACAGCTCATTTTCATTTTGTAACTGCTGTAAATGTTTCGATTCAACTACCAAGTGCTTCATGTTTTATTGACAAGATAAGTGAGGACTCGTGTCCGGGGGGCATGGAGATGTAGATTTACACTTTGGTCAATTAGTGGTGTCCCAGGGCTGAGCTAACAACAGTCAGGCTAAATCACCAGACAACTGGGGCAGAAAGAGGAGCAAATACATTGGACAAGGAGGCTTGCCGAGCTCCTCACAGGCAGGATGTCACGTTTCCTGACAGGCAAGTAATTTCCAGTCAGACGGTCCTGCCAGTCACCGCCATGGAACCAAGGGGCCAGTCCCCCACTATCCCCTCCCCTGTGCCCTGAGACTCCCTGACCTCACTGCCCAAAGGAACCAGGAATATGTTGGGCCTGTCCTTCTGGCTATGGGGGGAGAGGGGGGTGTTATTTGTTTGTTTATACATTTTTTATTGATTTCAGAAAAGAAGGGAGAGGGGGAGAGAGAAACATCAATGATGAGAGGATCATGGATCATTGCCTCCTGCACACCCCACACTGGGAAACTGAGTTCCCAACCTGGGCATGTGCCCTGACCAGGGATGGAACCGTGACCTCCTGGTTCTTAGGTCAACACTCAATCACTGAGCCAGTCGGCCGGGCGGGCCTGTCCTTTGGCTGAGGCTCATGAAAAGGCCTGTCTAATGGGGCCTTCGGGTACAATGACCGTATTTGGGTGGTTCAAGATCCTCATCTTCCTAGAATGTGCACTTGGTTATTTCCTAACCGTTCACCTGACATTGTGACCTTTCTTCCTGCAATGTTCAATCAATGAGAATGTCTTCATTGGGCCCAAATCAAGGACAAGACCAACGTGCCACAAGTAGCCAACTGGGGCACGTCTGCAATGTATGTAAAGAAGCAAAACAGACGGGGCCAGTCAGGTGATGCCAGCACGCCTGTACATAGAGGCTGACATATTACACATGAAAGCTGTGCAGTAAGACCACAGCTAGCTCCAGAGGCCTCGGAACATGAGTCTTGCCCAGCATGACCTCAGTTGGCGTAGCGTTTGCCTGGCTTCATGCTTCCAAGTAAATATTCTTTTAGGATTATAAAACCAATGGAAGGTGCTCTGAAACTTGAAATGCTTACATAAACCTATTAAAATAGACTACTGAGCCCAGTGGCATGGCTCAGTGGTTGAGCACTGACCTATGAACCCGAAGGTCATGGTTTGATTCCTGGTCAGGGCACATGCCCAGGTTTCGGGCTCCATCCCCAGTAGGGGGCGTGCAGGAGGCAGCCGATCAATGATTCTCTCTCATCACTGATGTTTCTATCTCTCTCCCTCTCTGAAATCAATAAAAAAATATATTCTAAATAAATAAATAGAATAGGCTGGTGAAGCATAAGGAAGTCATGTATTTCAGAAATTGGAGTTAAGGTTGATGTAACTGGAAGCAGAAAAGAGACACCAAGGCAGTGGAGGAATGGTAGGAGTAGAGGAGACGGAGGAGCCAGGACGGTGTCGGTAAGACGGGGTTGAGGGGCTGGAGGAACCATGGAGTAGTGAGTGGGCCAGAAGGGGGACTCCCCCAGACACAGACAGGAGCCCAGGGACTGTTGAACTAAGACTCCCTCAACATGAATCTTATCCATGCGTCTCCCGCATGTATTCTGAGTGACTTTTGATTATCGATATGACTTATCAGTTATTTCTTGAGAATATAGCTATAAGAACTCAAGAGGCAGAAAATAGAGTCAAAATTGTTAAAGAATACCAGAGAATGCTACAGCAGGGATCTGGAACCCCAATGAGGATTTTACAGAAGTACCCCACGTTTAGCTAGCATAGTTTCACTTACGGGAATGTTGATGAAGACAGAATCAAATTCTGCTGCTGTCAGAAATCGTTTTAGTGGTGCCATGAAGTACTACCCGGAGAGGAGAGAGAATAAGAATTAAGGACAACTCATCCTAATCTAGATAACAGATCGTCATCAACAAACATAAATATTTACTGAAAGTCGGTTGTTTATCAGTATTATGAATGTCCAAGAAACAGCAGAAACTATTTTTTCTGCCTTACAAATCACAGGCTTGAACAGAGATAGAAAGACATAAATACAAGTTAATACATTTAAAGCATAAAATACTTTGGGTGGTGAACACACAATGGAACAGACAGATGAAGTATTAAAAATTCTATAACTTCCATGACCGAGAACCAGAGTTCTATTGTGTTCACTGCTATATTCGGATTGATCCCTGCACGCAGATACTGAAATCAATCAATAAATAGTTGTGGAAGGATTAAAGCTTCTTTGAGATCTGTAAACCCAAAGTTCTACTGAAAATTAGAATAGACACACACACACACACAGGAAACACTGAGCCCAACACGTTCACCATGCCGGGCAGGAAGGGCAACACACACACACACACACACACAGGAAACACTGAGCCCAACAAGTTCACTATGTCAGGCAGGAGGGGCCTCAAGAGTGACACCTGATCACTTACTTTCTCTATTGACTCCAGCGTTTCTGTGTATTTTTCTTCCGTCTGCTTAATTTCTGCGAGGCAGCAACTCCGTATGTCATTCTCTGGACATTTCTGCAATTAGAATGATCCCATTAAAATTAGTTCATCAAATTCATGTGTTAATCTCTCTGGCGGGAGCTAGAAAGAGATCAAAATCATTGCTGGTTTTCTGAAGCTTTCCATTCCTAATAAAACACATAACCGAGAGATTGGCATGGTTATAACTAGTAACCATGACCTGTTATTGCATCTGGAGCCGTAGAAACGTGGCGTTTTACAGTCAAAACAACCCTGGGAGTCTCTGGTCTAATCCTTTCATTTTACTGGTAAGGAAACCAAATCTGAGCGATAAATGACATGTCACCAGCAAAACAATAGCAGAGGAGCAATGGGACTTAATTTCATAGAGTCATGGAATTGGATTGTTATGAAAGAAAATCTTCTGTGACAAAGCAGGTAAATATTCTTTTAGATTTGATGTCGCATCAGATATACACATAACGGGCAAAGGTAAGAAAGAAAACAAACAAAAAAGCCATCCCAGCAGAAGTTCCATAAACAATTACATTGAGTCTTTAAAATGGTCACTTTCCCAATAAAATACCCAGAGTAACTAAAAAGAAAAAAAACAAGGCGAGTGCTTACGGGTTGCTGCGCCTCCTCCGCTTTCATCAAGTCCTCGTAGACCTCTCCGCCTTCGTCTTCCCCGTAGACACAGTCATACAGGCCCTCCTCATCCTCCACGTGCGTCTCGCTGGAACGAAGGGCACAGGAGAAAGGTCACTGGAAACGCAGGAGCTAGAAGCAGCTTCCCGGATTCCCATGGAAATCCAGAGGGGACATAAAATGGAATTGGTGGCGTCGGAGGCTCAGGTGATGGCTCCGTCCCTCCTACAGGGACAAAGACAACAGCACCCAACAGCGATGGCAGCGACATGGACATTCACCACGTGCTGACTATGCACAGCGCCCCCGTGACCCCTCTGCAGGAGCCCGCCGCCCCCCAGGCCGGCATCGGTGGTGCTGTCAGGCAGGCCCTATCCGTGGGTCCAGCATCGCGATCAAGACTTCGAGAGGACAACAAGGCGTTGGACTTGCCCCAGACAACACAGGTCCGTGCAGGGCCGGATTGAAAAGTCTGCCTCACACTCGGGATGCGCTGATCACACTATCGAAGGGTAGGGTACGAAGAAGATGGGGAGCTGAAGGGGACCTAGCATGTGACAGGCAGTCTTTCACTTTCTGCAGGCTTATCATTGCCAAGACCTCGTGCAGTGGGTTTCAGACCACGTTCCTGTTGGAGGGCACCTTCCTTGCGCCTGCCAAGCGTGCACCGTCTGCCCTGCCTCTCATGACCTGTTATTGCATCTGGAGCCGTAGAAACGTGGCGTTTTACAGTCAAAACAACCCTGGGAGTCTCTGGTCTAATCCTTTCATTTTACTGGTAAGGAAACCAAATCTGAGCGATAAATGACATGTCACCAGCAAAACAATAGCAGAGGAGCAATGGGACTTAATTTCATGGAGTCATGGAATTGTATTGTTATGAAAGAAAATCTTCTGTGACAAAGCAGGTAAATATTCTTTTAGATTTGATGTCGCATCAGATATACACATAACGGGCAAAGGTAAGAAAGAAAACAAACAAAAAAGCCATCCCAGCAGAAGTTCCATAAACAATTACATTGAGTCTTTAAAATGGTCACTTTCCCAATAAAATACCCAGAGTAACTAAAAAGAAAAAAAACAAGGCGAGTGCTTACGGGTTGCTGCGCCTCCTCCGCTTTCATCAAGTCCTCGTAGACCTCTCCGCCTTCGTCTTCCCCGTAGACACAGTCATACAGGCCCTCCTCATCCTCCACGTGCGTCTCGCTGGAACGAAGGGCACGGGAGAAAGGTCACTGTGTGGTAGGAAACGCAGGAGCTAGAAGCAGCTTCCCGGATTCCCATGGAAATCCAGAGGGGACATAAAATGGAATTTGTGGCGTCGGAGGCTCAGGTGACGGCTCCGTCCCTCCTACAGGGACAATGACAACGACAACAGCACCCGACAGCGATGGCAGGGACACGACATTCACCGCGTGCTGACTATGCACAGCGCCCCCGTGACGCCTCTGCAGGAGCCCGCCGCCCCCCAGGCCGGCATCGGTGGTGCTGTCAGGCAGGCCCTATCCGTGGGTCCAGCATCGCGATCAAGACTTCGAGAGGACAACAAGGCGTTGGACTTGCCCCAGACAACACAGGTCCGTGCAGGGCCGGATTGAAAAGTCTGCCTCACACTCGGGATGCGCTGATCACACTATCGAAGGGTAGGGTACGGAGAAGATGGGGAGCTGAAGGGGACCTAGCACGTGACAAACAGTCTTTCAGATGCATCACTTTCTGCAGGCTTATCATTGCCAAGACCTCGTGCAGTGGGTTTCAGACCACGTTCCTGTTGGAGGGCACCTTCCTTGCGCCTGCCAAGCGGGCACCGTCTGCCCTGCCTCTCCAGGAATGGAGTGCAGTGTCTGCTTTATGTCCCTTCACGGCCTCACTCCTCTGCCTCCACCTCTATATGCCTGGGAAGGGCTCAAATTTGACTTGGCGGCAGTCTGCCTCTCTACTCCTCAGAGAGCCCTGCACGCGTGGGCCACACAAAGGCACCAGGAGCCCAGGGAAGTCCACTGTCTCGGACGCTTTCCCTTCCGGGTCTGGGGTTGACTCTTACACACCTCAGCCCCTGGCCACTGTCCCCTTCACGGCGCTCTGCCAACACCCCCAGCTACGACCCACAAAGGAAGCGCTCACGTACTCTATCAGGTCGGGGAGGGCTTTGTAGATGTCCTCATCGCTGACGCTCTCCTCTGTTGGGAAGGGCCTGGGGAGGGAGAGAAGGAGGGAGAGAAAAACAAGGTGAGCAAGCGGCATCCAGCGGGGCATTGCCTCTCATGAACCTTGTCAGCCGCCTGCCGCCAGCACGGGCTGGTCAGTCACCACGTCTGAGACAGCGTCTGGCGTTTCTCCCAGTGTGGCTGGGTCTGGGGGTCCCCAGGGAGACCAAGCACCTGCTACCCCAGGGCATCAGCAGCAGGTCTGCTGGTCACCCAGTCCTCTGAGCAGCTGGGGACAGGCTGCTGTGCTTAATGGATCCCCCGCCAGCCACAACTCTGCAGGCTCACCTCCTGGCAGAGAGCAGGCCTGCCTTCAACACCAGCTCTTTTCACTTTCGGATGCTGATGTGACTGACAAATGACTGAGTAGCAATCACCCTTAACAAATAGCTGGGTGGCAATCACTCTTGACAGACAACTAGGTGACAATCACTCTTGAAAAATAACTGGGTGACAACCTAATAATGAAAATTATTAGAAGCCAAGAATACTGCGACCTGTATATATGATTACTGACTCTGATATATTTTTCTACTTAGACTTATTAGTAAAGGTGTTGAAGTTGTGTGTGTTTTTCAATTATTGGGTAAATGAGTCAATCGGACCTCAGGGAGAATAGGATGTTTTCTCTGCTCCCTGTGCAAAGGAAATCACTGTCATTGATCCCCTATTCCTAGCCATGAGCACCCTTTTTGCCTCATGCTTCTGTGACACATTTGATAACATGCACACAATGCTCTAAATCCATGTCTAACAAAGTCACAGAAATCAGACTACAGAGGCAACGTTTTACTTTTTTTTACATGCCACCAGCATGTGTGTTTGCCTTGATGAATCATATATATAGAAATGTTGAAGGGAATTTTTAAAAAAAAGAACCATACCAATGATAGTCACCAGTAGAATGAGAACTATGTTTGGCCAACGGGTCTCATTCAGCTCCGTGAATACGTTTTTAGTTGCTCAGTACGTGTCAAACGTGTGTTGGCACTTACATACCAGGCAGCCTGCACGAGTGAGAAGCAGTCCTCGCGTGCAACATGCTTTGCAAACAGTGACTATTGAATAAGCAATCGTTACACTGAACATGGGCCGCGGAGAAACACGCTTACCGGATTCCTGTGGCCAACGCGATGGGTGTTCGGGAGAGTCGCGATAGCGTTTCTATCACCTGAGAACAGAGGAACGTGTTCATTGAAAGTGTATTTTGGGAAAGATGAGTTCTTTTCACAAAATAGTAGTTTAGCAATCTAACGTCAACAATGGCAGCAGTCGCGTGAATTTGCAGACGCCAAAGAGGTGCAGAATGGAAGAGCTGGGAGTGGCGGTATAAACACCTCCGGTATAATTTTGTCCCTTTCTTGAAGTGACCCCACTTCAAATGCTCAATAGCCACACACACAGCAAACTTTCGCATCATCACGGAAACTTCCACCCATCAGCCTGCTGGGTAGCAATGTGATGGAGCACGTGGGCTCTGGGGCCAGACCCCACAGGTTCAAATCCTGGCTTTACCACTTATTAGTCACATAACCTTGGACAAATGACTCAATTTCTCCTGGCCGCAGTTTTTTTCCATCAGGATACGGCATACAATAATAGATTATTATAGTCATTAGATTACTGTAAGGATTACAAAGGTAACACATGCAAAATATTTCAATGGTAGCCATTCTTGAAAATCTCCAACTTTAAGAAAATCACCTTATTCTAATTCTGGGTGTTTCAGGAAAAAGAGTTGCTTGTATGTACCCCTGCTCATCTACCTGTTTTAAGGTCCCTTAAGAAGACGTACCCAGCCATGGCTGTAGCATTAGTAGCTAGTAATTTTCCTGTTTGACACTGTGGTTTCAGCAGTATCAGCACGCAATCAAAAGGAAACTAGTATTGCTATGCATTTTACTACGCTATTATTGGGGAGACTTTCTATGAGAATGACCATACATCCACAAGATGCATCTTCTGTTCCTTTTGCTACCAATAACCAGAACTATTCACAACCCGTCCCCCTCTCCCCCTGCAAAACTTGAGTTTGATGCTTCCATACAATTGTCCACCAGAGGGAGCCAGACAACAGCACTCCATCACTTTCCTCCTGCGGTGAATGAGTTTATAAAGTACAAGCGTTTCTGAAAGTCAGCAAGCTGCACCGAACTCCTGCTATTTCTGTAAAACGAGCATTTCCCACTATTTAGTGATATAAAAATAAAGACACAGATTCGGAGGAGAGGAGCATGGCAAGAGACTATGCAGCATGCCTTAGAGAGCACCTCCCAGGACCCTCTCTGGGTTCCGGGCCCATCTGATTATA